CCTGAGTTTTCTTGGTGCATTGTCTAACTTCCAGTGGCACCCATATTCCTGGCTTGCCCACCAGAAATGGTCACTCTAGTTTTCACTGGGCAATGGCCTTGCTGGTGACCTCGTGTTATGCATAGTGTGTTTTTTTGGAGAAGGACGCGATGGGACCATCAAAATCCCGTAGAACCATGCGGACGAGGCCCTACGGCTTCGGGAAAAATGCGTATGATTTTGTTTTGGTTTTTCCTCGTTATCCTTTTCCGAGGCCTGCGTGGCTTGCAAAGCTTACACCTTAAACAATCTAGATGGGCTATGAAGAACAACGGAACGTAGGTGGGTTCCTTCGTTTGGGTGTGTTTCTTTGTTTGTTTCGGGGACCCCCTCAAATGGTGGTTTTCCCTTTGGCTTCCCTTTACAACAACCGAAAAGCAGGTACCTCAGAAAAGGCACCCATGTCAGGTTGTTTTTTGTTTGCACATCTCGTATTCTCCATGTGACATTTATGTTGCAATCGCCTTTTTGTTCGATCTGGAAGCATCATTGCCGTTAGGCATCCCTTGTCTCAAGCTCTAGATTCTTTTCTTCGAGTCCCGGAATATAATTGCTTGTTCTAGGAACCAAGCCCTCCATGTCGATGCCAGGCGTGCAGAAGGCATGTGTCCCACATACCCCCATTTGGCGTTTACGGAGAAATGAAAGGGAAGCCAGTTCTGTAGGCATCCCTTTTGAACTGGTGTCCTTAGGTTACTTTGGTCAGGCATAGATGGTTTAGATTGGTTTTGTTACCCATTTATCGATTTGGGCCCCTCGGGTTTTCCAAAAGGTCACCTACAAGCACCTCCCCAACCCCTGCTTTTTGGGACATTTTCAAGGGAATGTTGGGCCATGAAAACAACGACGACAACAACAACGACGACGACAACAGCAACAGCAACAGCAACAGCAACAGCAACAGCAACAGCAACAGCAACAGCAACAGCAACAGCAACAGCAACAGCAACAACAACAACAACAACAACAACAACAACAACAACAACAACAACAACAACAACAACAACAACAACAACAACAACAACAACAGGCAAGTTGGGGGGCTGCTGGTATTTGGAACAAAAACAATCAACAGGCAAAAAGGGGTCTGGTATGAGCAGAACATACAGTTTTCTGTGTACCCCTTGCGCCGATTTCCACCGTGAAACCGGGGCCCTCGAAAAGTCCCCCGAGCGAGGCTCGCCTTGCTGGCGGAAGTTGGGGACGAGAGCTTCTTCATCACTGCGCCTTGTCCGAATTGTCACACGCATAGGTGTCTTTTAGGTCCTACACCCGCAACAGCCCGGGGTCTGTCCAAATGTAAAAAAAGGCTACACAATATGAAGCAGGTTAATTACTTTAGCTGCTGAATGGATGGTGATTGTTGGTTCCTTTTTGGTTGTTGCTAGAATAGTGCTGGCATTTTCTGGTCGACCCATAGAGGTCCTTCTTCGTTGTAGAAAATCGATGATTCCCGAGTGACCTGGCTGTTTCAGAATCTTTTCCCAGGAGGCCACCTACCGTCTGGCCCATTTCCGGCAGCCAAAGGACACCTGACACTCCCTTTTTGTTGTTTGATCAAGTCGATTCATATGGTGGACTCACTCAGCTTCCACCAGGCAAAGGTCATTTTTAGCCGTGCCCCCAAAGGCGGAAGTAGACTTGGCTCATGCAAAGTGCCATCCTTCGGATCGCTGGTTATCGGAGCCTCGGGCCATCCCCATCCTTGTGACAAAGAATAGGCACCGGGTGGTCTTAGAGCAGTTCTATGGATTGACAAAATCCTGCAGCTGGGATGGATGAAAGCCCACAACGAAGTGTGATGAGCCTACCAGAGAACTGCTGCGCAGGGGGTTTCCCCATCAACATCACAGAAGTGCAATCCCCGAGAGCCTTGAAGGTTTGCGGAGGGTCCTAAGGAACTTACGAAGTTGGCAAAGAACTCATACTTCAAGAGGAGAATCAGTGGCCATGTCTTGTGTATTCTTTAAAGGGCAGTTGAAATTTTGAAGAGGAAGTTACGTGCACCAGAGAAGAAACGCCATGAGCAAGCTACGGAAGAGATGGCGGTCAAGTACACAAGTGGTACTTCAAAATGAAGAATGACGCAAGCAAGTGGTTGATGCCTAGTGTGACCTTCAACCTTGGGAACTTGACTATAGCTCACTACCATGAGCCACGGTGAATATGTGCGTGCGTGTCTTTCTTGGGCCCCCCTCCTCACCAAACCGGTGGCTTCCTTTAAAGCAAACCCAAACAAGGGTATCATCAACAAAAAGAGACACTCACATGGCTTGTAAGTACCATGATTGTCTGTAGTATCTGGGATGATATTGGGCACACGCTTCAACTTACCTTTAGGAGAGCGAGCTACTTGCCGCATGTTCATGTCAGCTGGCAAGGCCATGAGTACTAACTGATGCGCACATATTGGCGTTGGTCAACAGCCAAGCTAATTGAACATCAACGCACCTTGTGGTGTCTGGGCATGGCAGCAAATACCAATTGGTTGTTGAGGAAGGCGAAAACACTTTGCTTTTGTAGCGATACCGAGCAAACTAGTCATAGAGGTTCAAAGTGGTTGACCCGGGGTAAGGGTTTGGTGTACTGGGTGTGGGGTACTTTCAATCCAAATTAAGTCATGATCATAAGATAATGTAGTCCGTTGTAGGTCCCGTCGCGAGGGTCACGGCCAGCCAGTTTCCGGGACTGCTTCGGGGCAGATTTGTCCGATGACACTGATGCCACGCTAGCAACCCAAGAAGCGGCATTTATCGCAGGCAAAATGACATCTGCGCTCCAGTTGAAAGGCTCGGCCGAGGCTGTGGGTCTTTGGTGAAAAGAAGTTAGTGGAGGGTCGGGCCGATGCATGCACGGTTTCGCTATCACCAAGTTGCTCTAATTACTAACGAGTGTTTCTCAGGTTGCATTGCGCAACTTGGAGTGTTTTTGTGAGAAGCCTGTTGTTTAGTGCCCGCTTCCATTTGCTTAAGGCAATCTGTTTTGTGGATGCAGGAACATTTCATGATTGTGAAATGTTTGTTATGTTTTCACAGCAGCAAATTGGAAGCTAACTGAGTGGAAAGATGGCATCTGTTGTTTTTCTCTATGGCCACTGGGTGTCTCTCAGTGTTGTTTACCTTCCATTTGCTTAAGAATTGAGTCATCCATTTTCCCTGTTGGACTTGAAGGGAATCTATCACTACTGGAGATATCACTACTGGAGATCTTGATTCTTTCGTCCTCGGCCGAAAACGCCGATGCCAGTACCCCCACGCCCGCCCGAGCGCGCGCGCTGCGCGCGCGGTTCGGCCGAGGTGCTTTTGGCGGCCTGGTGCCCCCTGCAGGGCGTCAGAAGCGGCGCACGCCTGGAGTACCCGCTGGCCGGGGGCCCGGACGCGCCAAGGGCGCCTTCCGTTTGCTTCTTGGCTTTAAAGGGAATCTACCACTACTGGAAATATTCGTTTGTATTATTTTTTTACAAGGGGATTGAGCAAATGGAAGGAGCGGTTTGACTCCAGGTGACGTTGACTTCGGCTGAGTCCAGGTTGACTTTTGACGAAGGGGTTTGTTCAAAAAGGATCGGAAGGGCTGAGTTGTTGTGTTTTTGTTTCCTTTTTTTCTCGAGATGTTATTTTATATTTGTTTGTTTTAAAAAATATTTTGGACTTTTGAGTGTTGTATTCTTGCAAACACATGTTGTGTTCTAGGGTATAGGCTGGATATGGAACAGAGCCAGAAGACAGGCTGTTATCATTTCTTTTGTAACCAAGTGTTGTTTTCATTTGACTATTTCAGGTAAACAGACAGTTTGGACTTTTGGGTCAGATGCTGCAACTGCTGGAACCCCCCCCCCCCCGCGGCAAGAGTTGCTTATAATCGCTTAGGCTTTCCCCAAACCTTCTGGAGAACTTTCTGGAGACATGTTCCTTGACTGCCTTTCGTTCTGTGAGTCGTTTCTTTTTGCTCGGCTTCCCGTGAAAGTCAAGTGACGGCAGAGTGCGCCGGTGCCCACTTTTTCCAACAAGGTGCGGAGGCGGGGCAAAACTGCCACCAAACGCGCAGGGTGCTCAACCAACACGGAGGGTGCTGCTCGCAGTTCAACTGAACCAGAAGCCCAAGAAGATGCATGTTCGAATTTTGTGGTTGAGGCTTCCCCTCCAAAATTTACCAACAAGAAGTCGCAGGCCTTCTTTCTGCGGTTGGTTTGCTCGACCGAGGTGGCGCTGGGAAGTCTTTCGGCCGTCAGCTCAGCTGACAGACCTTGACCTTCGTACGCCTTTGGCCCTTTGTCGGGTTGCCAATGGTGACCTTCGACTACCTGGAGTCTCCACGACCCTTGAAAAATGGGTCCATGACCCCTTTATTTTGGGTAATGACCCCATGTTGAAAGGGTCATGGAGACTCCAGGTAGACCTTTTTACTTTGGGGAGATCACTGCTATCGTGCAAACACTCGCCGGGTCGACAAGTCAAAGAGCCGACAGGTGTTTCCCAATGGGGCAGTGTCCGAGGGTGCATTCGAAGCCTTTCCCAATCCTTTGCGGCAATCTACTATGCTGGGTAAGGGCGTTTTACCTTTGGGTTGTTTGCCGGATAATTATCTTTGCTTCCTGAAGCCATAGCGGCTCGCCAGCGGAGCACTCGGCTTGCTGGAAAAGAACCCGCAAAACCCCTTGTTCTAGTTGTTTCGTTTCATTTGTTCCCAGTGTGTTTGGTGGGTTCGGGACCCACTAAAAAGGTCAATCCCAGAAAGGCTTCCTTTTTAGAACAAGGGAAACGACAGGACGTTATTTGAGTGATAGTGGTGTACACAGCATGCTTAACCCAGGGGAGGGGCCAACCCTGCCTGTGTCTCCTTTTGCGGATACCATGTTTGGGGGCTGACTCGTCGAACTGTTTCTTGGAACCTTCATGTTTGCTTTCTGTTTGGGGAGGGGGGGACCATTTTGGGGTTGCTTTTTGAGAGACAAACCTAAATAATGGTTTAATGAGGGGGCTGTGCGATTTGAGCGAAAGTTTGAGGCGCTTCTTCTGCGTGTGGCACTGCGACATTTCGGGCTGTATGCCTCTGCCGGCTTAGGCAGGGGGCGTGGAGACGGGGTTGTGAAGTGCCGAAATCGGCCGCAGACAAGCTACCCGGTTGACCGTTTGTCGCGCGTATGTTGATTGATTGAATGTCGTGGTTTCCCTTGGTTTGCGGTTTGAGTTTGTTTGTGGAGGTTGATTGGATGAATGTCACGGTTGCAGGGATGACGAACAGTTTGCCCCGCTTGCATTTTTGTTTGTGCATCTTTGGCAAGCGGACGGAGTTTGGGCCCAAAGCGGTCCTCATTCCCAGGCAGAGAGCAAGCTGAAGGATATGTACCAATATGTACGGTTCTGTACGGTCTGAACATGGTCAAAACACATTAGGAAATATTTGGGTTTGGTTTGCGTAGGTTCCTCCAGGGACCAAGTTTCTACGCAGACCTGCCGATCGGATCTTCGGAACATCGATATTCTTGCATGGGAGATCAAGCCAGTTTCCACATGTTGTTTTGTTCCCCACCCGACAGGAAGGGGTTGTCAGATTTTATGTTGGAATCCGCGTTTGCGATGCTTCTACACCACGCCCCCACCCAGTATCCCGCCAGAGCAGCTCGCCAGTGGATCCCGCCGAGTATCCCGCCAGAGCAGCTCGCCAGTGGATCCCGCCGAGTATCCCGCCAGAGCTGCTCGCCAGTGGATCCCGCCCAGTATCCCGCCAGAGCTGCTCGCCAGTGGATCCCGCCGAGTATCCCGCCAGAGCGGCTCGCCAGTGGATCCCGCCGAATATCCCGCCAGAGCGGCTCGCCAGTGGATCCTGCCGAGTATCCCGCCAGAGCGGCTCACCAGTGGATCCCGCCGAGTATCCCGCTGAGTATCCCAGAGTAGCTCGCCAGTGGATCCCGCCTCAGTGGATCCCGCCGAGTATTCCGCTGAGTATCCCAGAGTAGCTCGCCAGTGGATCCCGCCGAGTATCCCACCAGACCACCCGCCAGTAAATCCCGCCGAGTATCCCTTGCTGGTGGATCCTGCCGAGTATCCGGCCAGTATCGAGCCGGAGCGGTTCGCCAGTATTCGCCAGTAGATCCTGCCAGTGCCCGCCAGAGCAGCTCGCCAGTCTGGTTTTGCTTAATGTCCCGCCCGGCGCACAGTTGGGTTTACTTTTCATGTTGGCACCTTCGTGTTTTGAGTGTGCCCTGAGGCTCGGAAAGGGTGATGCTTTTGTGTTGCTTTGGGTTGTGAATAAGCAACTTAGTTTAGTCCCCCGTCGGGCTTCTTTTTGGAATGGGCTTGGCTTTTGTTAACGGAGCCGATGTTTGAGTTCTCGAGATCGGCTCGCAGACAAGTGGGGTTTGACACAGAGACAGGTGGATAAGGCTCTCAATGCAAAGCTTGTTGAGCAGTCATGGGCCCCAAGCCACTCGAAAACCGCTTGAATTCACACAACCGTGTTCACGGTCGTAAGCTCGTGAGTGTGGAGGGTGGGGATTGCTCGAAGCGAAGTAATTTTTGTTGGCAATTTCGCAGTGTTTGTTGTTGTTTTTTTTGAAGGCCAACTTCACAAATCCATTGCTAAGGTTGACTTTCAAATCTGTCAGTGTTTAGGCTGCATGCTTACGCTGAGGATTGTTTGGGCAACCAACAGAGCGCTGCTTCTGTCGACCTCGGGGCTCGGAGTGGCTTTCATCGGCCCAGAGCGTTGCCCCGAAACTCTGGGAGAAAAGTGGCGCCTCAAAGGGGTGAAACCGAGGGAACTCGAGGTTCCCACTGAACGGGAAAAATGAGAGAGTTCGAAGGAAAACGGGGATGTGCTCCAAAGGATCCAGGCTTCACCGTCTCCCCGAGGATTGGGGGTTTGGAGGGGTTCGGGGATAGCTGTGCGTTCATCTACAGAAGCCAGGGGTTCAATTCCCCAACCTAGGGCTTCAAGAACCTGTAAAAATGTCGTACCCTGACTAAAACATGTTTTTTCTCGATTTTCTGAAAACATCGTGTTTTCAGGAAAAACATCGTGTTTTTGATAAACCCCCTTAAACATGGGCTTCTGAGGCCAAACACTCGGTTTCAACTGAGGGCAACGCTCTATACTGAGTATGCTTCAAATTCTAAGGACCACATTGATGAGCCTGACAGCCAGGGTGTGCAGCTGGCTTCAGTCTTGAAGCACCTTTCACAGCAACAGGCACCTGAAGACTGGCGCCAGGTCATACCGAACCAGTTTGAAGGGGGTGCTGGAATCCGAAAGCTCCTTTTGGTGCAAAACAAGACCAGGTGACACCTTTTGAGATTGTTTTTTTAAAGCAAAAAAATGAGTATTTTTTTAAGAAAATGGGGTGGGATCCTGGCGGCTAACCGCAGAAACCCGTAGAAAACCCGTAGAAAACCCGTAGAAAACCGGTAGAAACCCGTAGAGCCCGCAGCCCCAACCGAAAACATCGTGTTTTTGGAAAACATCGTGTTTTCTAACCCGTAGCTAAACCGTGGAGAGCCCGTAGTAAAGCGTGGCAAACCGTGGAAATTCTATGGGTTTTTCGGGTTCAACCACGAAAGCGCTAATTCGAGAATGTTGCTGGAAAACAACGAAGTCGTGAGCAAAAGCACGGTCTTTGCTTGAGCTTGCGTGCTGTTCGAAGCCAGCAAGCCCTCATCATGGCATTGCTGCTTGACAAGTGTCATAAAACCGTGGTACTTTTGACTATTTGGGTCCCCGGCCTCCTTCTTTCAGATTGGAGTTGCGAAAGACGCGTGGCGAATGCGAAGCTGATTTCGTTACGAGCGCAAAAGGGGAGGGCGATGGGAGATTCTGAGGTTGAGATGATGCTTTTGAGATCTTTTGAGAACGCATGACGAGTTGAAGGAATGTATGGGAAAATGCTTGAAATCGAAAATGCGGTGTTTCCCGAAAACATCGTGCTTTCCAAAAAACACTGTGTTTTTTGTAGGTATGACATTTTCATCGGTTTTTGAGGCTCCTGGAACCTGCAGGTGTCCAGTGGCTAAGGCCCACAGTCAACCGCTTCATGGACAGCCCAATTGTTGAGCAGTCTAAAGGAACTGTTAGTCCCATTTCAAGGTGCCACCTGTGGGTCCAAAGCCATGTGAAACAGAGTCTCAACATGATATTTCCCATCTGATGTGGCCCAAGCCATGGTGGAAATACTACTGTGAAGGACCAAATCCTGCGGCCGGGATGTTCATCCACATGGTGGAAACTCGTATCATGTGAGGCCCGGCGGGGCTATCTGGGAATCCTAGTATTGCCCATGTTTTGGGGGGGCGGGGGTCCATGAGAGAAAGCTCCAGTTGGTTTCCAAAGAAAAGCAATCACGATTTTAAATACCCTCTCGTCCACGTTGCCACGGAACCCACTCGGTTGTGGGCCCCTTTAGGAAACTCGGTTCTCCTCTTTTTTGGTTCCATGTTTGGACGGGAGGGCGTTTTATGTGGCGCTATATAATTCCAAACCTTAAGCAAATGAGCCACTTGCTCAAAACCCGGGCAGATGAAGGTTTTTGGAGAATCCCCTTGCCATAAATAGCTGCGGATATCCGCCTTCTTATTTCTTTACATGGCTCGGGGATTACGACCATTTTAATACCGGGTTTTGTTAACCAAAGGGTCGAGGGAAAATCACGGCATGGAAGCCCCTTTCGGGTTTTAATGATGACTCAGATGTATGTTGTTGCTTTTGTGTGTGCGTGTTTGGTGTAAAGGGTATCAGTTGTTGTTTTGCTTTACATGTTTTAAAGATTGGTTTCACACGACTTACATCTGATGACTCAACTGGCGGGAGGTATGGTAGCTGGATCTCAAGGCCAAGACTTCGCGCCAGGCCAGGTGCTACCGCTGCAGCTTTGCGCGGTGCTGCTGGCCGGCCTCTCGGCGCGACCCTTGGAGCTGAATGCCAGGCGGTCCCAAAGGCCGAGGAAAAAACACGGGGCGCCTTGTGAGTGGGTCAATTCGCAGCCAAAACACAAGGGGCCTTGCTGGGTGGGTCGATTCCTTCAATTGAAGATGTTGAGGGGTGTTTGGGCCCAGGAAAGAAGCTCAATTATTGGATTTTCTCAGGGCGCAGTTTGCCAATTCAAGTCTAGCAGCTGCCACTGGCAGAAGGAACAAACTGAAAAGGACTGTTTGGCCGGGTTCGAAATTCGTCCGTCCGAATGGACTGAGGCGCGAGCGTACTGGCAATGGACAAGCCGAGGTGCTCTGGCAAGCGCCGAATGCCGAGCGTGAGGGAGCCATCGTGTTTTTCTGGTACTTGGAGTCTCCATGACCCTTCAAAAATGGGGTCATTACCTTGAAGGCGGGGTCATGGACCCATTTTTACAGGGTCATGGAGACTCCAGGTAGGGACATTGACCATTTGGGTGTGTCTTTTACGGATTCCTCAGGACCGATTTTGACCATCACAAATGAGCCGTTCGTTTTACACGTGGGAGTTTTATTCAGGCAAAGACGCAGAGGAGAAAGTAGAGGTGGGTCGGGAAGTTTGGATGGTTGAAATCAGTTGTTGCAGCCGTGGATTCGACAACCAGCCGGTGTTCCCCTTGGTGTAACATACTGCAGATGGGACTATTTCCTGCACCACTGTGAAGCCAAGGGAAACCATTTTGTTTTGATATTTACAGGGGGATCAAATCATTCCATGGTTTCTGAACAATATTAATTTGTTTCTTTGTTTCTGCAACCATCCACAGTAGTTTGAGATTCGTTGGCACATATTTTTACTGTGAGTTCCTTTTCGGGGGCCCAAACGCTTCACTTATGCCGATGCGGTCGTTGGATCATGCGGGCGATGGTGGCCCAACAAGCTCAAGCCTTCTGGATTGTTTGCGTCGCCGTGCATCAAAGGGCCATGATTTCAGAGTTGTGTTGACGCCGGATGAATGTTGACCCCGGTTAATGGGGGAGGGGAACACCCCCTATGATTTTTTTAATATTCCGGGATCAACATTATATTCACAAGACGTTCATGTTCCCTCAGAAAGGTACTACTGTGGATGGACGAACTCCTGCACCACTTTGGAGCCATGGTTGAAACCATTGTTTGCTTTGATATTTGCAGGGGAATCGAATCATTCCCTTGGGTTTCTGAACGGTGGTGCGTTGCATGGAGTTCGTGAGCCCGCGGATCTGCTTATCGCACGCCGGCCAGGGGAGCCTGAAAAGCGGGCGGCCAAGACAGACCATGGGCATGGGGAGGTTGCCGCGTCCGCGCCAAACATGTTCCATTTGCTTAAAGCCAGGTCTTATTTTCCACCTGGTTTTAAAGGGAATCTATCACTGGAAAAAATGTTTGTTTGTTTTTTTTAAGGACATGGCAGAAACGCTCTGGGAAGGGTCCGTAAAAATCAATCAAAGGCGTGGTTCGCAGATGGCAGGGCAACTCCCCTTCAGAGATGAGAGTTTGTTTTTTGGAAAGGCCTACCATTCCCAGTGCTTCCAGTTACCACCATAAGGTTGATAGCATTTTTGGGTGATCATAGTTGTTTTACTTCTAGGTTTTTCATGATGGGTTCTTGTGGATACATACAACCATGTCACAAAGGTTCAAAGGTTTTTGTGGTTACCAGATCCGATGCCGTGCCCTTTGGTCGAACTCCTTTGGGATGCGTGTGGCAATGCTGGGCGTCCCAAGGGGCTTTGGTTTGCGACCTTTAGGTAGAGTCAGGGAAACTTATAGAGCGTGCTCTCGCCCGGAGAGATCCGAAACCCATCTTATAGCTGCACCCCCTATCCAGGGCACCCCCCCCATTGGATTGATGAGTCCTAGTTTCCCATTTGACGAGGCATCGTTAAGCAACACCCATCTACTCGTGTGAAATTCGGCCCAAATGATCAGCAGACTCTTTTTTTTTCGTGCAATCACTACTTTCTTGTCACTAACTTGTGTGCTATTAATACGGCCAGCCCCTGAGGTTTGCCGGCGCCCGGAACCAACGCCCCAACACCAAGACCCGGAGATCACGAAGCTCCGACCCGCCTGAAGCATTTTGTCTGCGCTGCCACTGCTGTTACTTTGTCACGATTCGTAAAGCCAAGCGCAGCTAAGCCATAAAAACCCTAAACCTAACCCTAAAAACCCTAAACCTAAACACTGAAAGCCCTAAACCTAAGCCTAAAAACCCTAAACCTAAACCCTAAAAACCAAACCTAAACTTCAACAACCCTAAACCTAACCCTAAAAACCCTAAACCTAAACACTGAAAGCCCTAAACCTAAGCCCTAAAAACCCTAAACCTAAAAACCCTAAACCTAAACCCTAAAAACCCTAAACCTGAACCCTAAAAACCCTAAACCTAAGCCCCAAAAATTCTACACCTAAAAACCCTAAACCTAAACCCTAAAAACCTAAAACCTAAACCCTAAAGACCCTAAACCTAAATCCCAACAACCGTAAAACCCTAAACCTAAACCCTAAAAACCATAAAGCCCCAAACCGAAACCTAAACCCTAAACCTAAAACCCTGAACCTGCCTGCCACCCACGCCCTCGCGGTACCACGGCCCTACGTTCTGAAGAGAACGGAGGTCACCACGTGTCAAATATGGCTGCACGAGTTCTGCTACTTGACTAGTAAAGGGTGCCATACTTGAACCACGTGCTGCAGGAACTCGAGTCACCTGGGCATGGGCAGGACAAGCGTGGATTAGGGGGTGACGGCAAACCTCGGGGGCTGTGGGTATTAATAGGGTCACCCGCAGAAAATGGATCGTTTCCTCTTTGACGCCACTCCGAAAGCGGCTTTCCATTTTTTCCGATCAGCTGTCCAAAGGCTACCGGTGGCCTCGGGAGCTGTGCCGCGTTACGGCGGCTCCTTCCTGGGGAATTTCCAGGCGGGGAATGAAGAACCAGAACCCGTCTAGGTTTTTAATTTTTTTCCCTTTTTTTTTTTCCGGAGGGACCCCCAAAATGGCTTTGGTAGTTGTTTCTTGGTTTTCCTGCAGCACCAGGAAAGACTTTTTTGGTTCTCCTGCAACACCAGGAAAGAAGGGGCTCCCTCGAAAAAAAATACACCCACTATGAGGTCCTCGGGTGGAGGTAGATTCGATTCGTCGATATCGCAAGATGCTGCATTGGCCGCTTTGCAACGATATAATTATGCTGGGGGTTATGTCCACGAACGACTTTTGGGTGGATTCACCAACCATATGGGCTATCGAGACCAAGAGCTTTGGGTCCTCGCTCCTGAAGCTGCAATGGTTCATAGGGTGCCAAATAATTGGCGACCATTGTGCAAGACTTGTCCAAAGCAAGAAACCAAAGGGGGGGGATGGGTGATTTGCATTTCTTCCAGAGCCGCATTGCTTCACAGCAACCATCAGCAAACTAAGGACTGTTTTGTTGGGGCCAATTCTAGCGACCTCACAGAGGAGGTCTTGTATGAAGGTTTGCGTTGGTTGCTCATTACGGTGAGTTTCATTCTGGAGGACGCCAGGACGGCTAAGGAAGAGTTCCATTGACTGCCAGCAGGGTTGCCCATCTGGCCATGGGTCAAAACCCCGTACCCCCAGTGAACATCCCAATCCCCATTAAAATTAAGAGTTTTCGTCCAGCCAACCGTTGAGGGAGGTTAAAATAATTTATTTTGTGATTTGGAAGTGAGGGTTGGAGCAAGAAAATAGCAATCTGAAAATTAAGAGCAACCTGAAAAGCAAGAACAAAGTGATTCACTTGCAACAGTTGACACAAAAAAGCAAGAACATAGTGATCAGATGGTCATCAAATAGTGATTTGGGCACCTCAAAATAGCAAGCATCCAAATAGGGATTATATGGGAGATCACTATTTTCCTGATTTTTTTTGCAGGCGACAACCCTCAAAACCTGAAATCTGCAAATCACAACGGGAGATCACTATTTTCTTGCTTTTTTTGGAGTGGGAAATCACTATTTTCTTGTTTTTTTTGGAGGCGACGACCCTCGAAACCCGAAAATCTGCAAATCACAACGGGAGATCACTATTTTCTTGCTTTTTTGAAGTAGGGAAATCCATATTTTCTTGTTTTTTTTGGAGGCGACGACCCTCGAAACCGGAAATCTGCAAATCACAACGGGAGATCACCATTTTCTCGCGCCCCCGGAGGGGGAAACCCATTTTTTTTGGAAGCGACGACCCTCGAAACCCGAAAATCTGCAAATCACAACGGGAGATCACTATTTTCTCTTGCTTTTTTGGAGTGGGAAATCCCTATTTTCTTGTTTTTTTTGGAGGCGACGACCCTCGAAACCGGAAATCTGCAAATCACAACGGGAGATCACTATTTTCTTGCTTTTTTGGAGTGGGAAATCACTATTTTCTTGTCTTTTTGGAGGCGACGACCCTCGAAACCCGAAAATCTGCAAATCACAACGGGAGATCACTATTTTCTTGCTTTTTTGGAGTGGGAAATCCATATTTTCTTGCTTTTTGGGCAGGCGATGACCCTCGAAACCCGGAAATCTGCAAATCATAGCGGGAGATCACCATTTTCTTGCTTTTTTGGATGTTGTCGCCTGCAAAAAAAACACAAGAGAATAGGGATTTCCAATTCCAATACAGCAAGAAAATAGTGATCTCCCGTTGTGATTTGCAGATTTCCGGGTTTCGAGGGTCATCGCCTGCCCAAAAAGCAAGGAACAAGTGATTCCCCACTCCAAAAAAGCAAGAAAATAGTCATCTCCCGTTGTGATTTGCAGATTTCCGGTTTCGAGGGTCGTCGCCTCCAAAAAAAACAAGAAAATATGGATTTCCCACTCCAAAAAAGCAAGAAAATAGTGATCTCCCTTTGTGATTTGCAGATTTTCGGGTTTCGAGGGTCGTCGCCTCCAAAAAAAACAAGAAAATAGTGATTTCCCACTCCAAAAAAGCAAGAAAATAGTGATCTCCCGTTGTGATTTGCAGATTTCCGGGTTTCGAGGGTCGTCGCCTCCAAAAAAAACAAGAAAATATGGATGTCCAACTCCAAAAAAGCAAGAAAATAGTGATCTCCCGCTGTGATTTGCAGATTTGCTGGTTTCGAGGGTTGATCACAATTTTCTTGCTTTTTGTTTCACAATTGTCTTGCTATTTTCTTGCTATTTCTGGTCTCTTGTTTGCTGCATTCTTGCTTTTTTAGTGCCCACTGTTTGCTCTAAATCACTTTTTCCTTGCTTTTTTTTCCCACCCGAAACTATTTTCTTGCTCTGTTGCTTGCTCTACATCTCACAAAAAAAATAAAACAGCATTTTCCAATGGTTGGCTGGTTTCGCAAGTCTTAACATTAAAATAGGCTAAAAGGGGTGGTGCACCTATCCCAAAATGGTACCATTAATTTTGAACCATGGCCATCTGGGACCGGGTGTGTCTTTTTGTTTTCATGGTTGGACGCAGTAAAAATGCGAGTTGTCCTTTTGGTTTTGTTTTTAAACCCCCAAACGAGGGGTGCACAACAACTCACCCATCTTGCGCCGCGACGTGCGACCTTCGGCACGCCAAGCTGAACAGCTCGCCAGGCGTACAACCCAGCAGAACGGCCGGCTTCAGGCAGGAGGGATGTGGCCCGGCCAAGATGAATGAAGTCCCCGCTTCATGGCAACCAACCGCCGCGGAATTTGGAGAAACCCCCAACTTGGGCCGAAAGAGGACAACAGCTTAGACCAGCCACGTCGCCAAGCTGCGATCGTCAATGTCCCCGCCAAACTCCTTGGGGCCTTCTGGCCTGTGGGCTCTTTGGGTTTAGAGGCGCCTGGTTGTGTTCAAGCTAGCTCCCCCAGTGCCCTTTTACCGTTTCTTTTTTGGGCGGAGAGTTCCCCTACTAAAATAAACTACAGAAAAAACGTGCACCCGTATTCTAACCTCTCTACTGGAGGATCTAGTGTTCAAGGGAACACATACCCAGGCATCACTGCCGGGTGACTTTGCAGCAGCGGGTGGTGCCTGAAAAGAGTGCGCAAAAGAAACGCGCCCTGAAGAGACCCCGGTTGAGTGTCAGAGCTGTTGGGAGAGCCAGCCGGCGGTGGCAGGTCCCGTTGTGGTTTTGCGAAGCTTGGTCCACGCTAATTATCAAAGTGGCACGGGAGATTTCAGGAGATATACCGAAATTAAGAAAGAAGCTCCTTTTATCAAGCTTATCGACCAGGGAGTCATACATTTGGAGATTCTCACGGTGACCTGCACGACTCACATTTCTTCAACATTGTGCAGTGAATAATAATATAGAGGTAAAAAACAGAGGTAAACATCTTGGTTACCTTCCACGAACATTGTGCAGTGCTTCCAGCCTTCTGTAGTGAACACCTTGGTTGCCTTCTGTCGTGGTAACTGAAACTTCTGTTTCCAAGTTCGCTGACGGCCAGGCTTGGTTGCAGATGCCCAGGCGACGCGGTGCGACTCGCTGACCCCCCCAACTTTGCGGCGGCCCGGAAAGTCGGGACTCAACTATCCCTTTACAAGCGAAACAGGGTTCCCCCCAATAAACAACATGAGATGTGTTTGGCGGTGTGTGTGTGTGTGTGTTTGGGGGGTGGTTAGGGGTGGGTGAAAAAAGAGCACACCCCATTTTCCACGGGAAGGAGCTTGCCGGAACTAGGATCAACCTGGGGTGAGTACGGGAAGTCCGGAAGCGGAACCCCCGCTATGAATAGGATGGGCGTATTAATCCGGGGTACACCTTGTACAATCGCCTTGGCTGGAATTAGGACCCCAGCAAAAACTGTATAGGGGAAAACAAAGGGGACCCCAAAAGAGCAAAACAACAAAAAACAGCTGATTTTTTGGAAGCTGATCAGCTGATCCTGTTCTAACAGCTTTTTGGTTGCTCGCCCAAGACTCGAGAAGTATCCGTTTGGAAGGTAAATGGCAACCAACTTGGGCAACATGCTGCTTTGACAGACCCAGAAATTGAACAAAATTGCAATGCCAACCAAAAACAAGTGAATTGGGAACCAAAATGCCAACCAACAGCTTCATGGGAATCGCGGCACCTTGGTTGGAACAGACCAAAGCCTGCGTAACCCTAGCTTTCATTTTCAGCTACACGCAAGTGGGTTAGTTTAAAAGGAATTTCTAAAGGACATCAAAAGGAAACCAAATATCAAAAGGGGGTCTCCTGTTTTGAAATGCTCAGCCGCCTCCAAAACACGCCGTGTCTCAGGCAAAGAAGCCGCTGGAGTGCATGGCGTCCCTCGCCGTGCCTCTTGGCCGATTTGTGGTTGACCGCGTGGGGTCCCTGGGCTCGGTTGCCAGCGGCGCCTTTCTTTCTGTTCCTTTTTGGGGGATGGTCCCCCTGTAAAACCACCAACCAAAAAAAGGCGCCATTTTTGGGTCCCATGGCCACTGGGCATCTGAGTGGGTGTGTCTTTAATTGAGGATGCCCCTTAGTAGGTTTCAGATGGACACCAGAGGGAAATCGTTCTTCTTTGGGGGGCGGGGGGGGATGTCCCGTAAAAAGAAGACATACCCGGATATTGATCTACATCGCCTAAGAACATAGGTGGCCTTGGGTCAGATTGAAAATTGATGGCACTAGCTGCAGGTTGTCCTAATCATTTACCAGCGCCATCAATGTTACCAAAAGAAGGGTACCTATGCCTAAGAATTTGTCTACTTTGCTCAACGTTGTCAAATGATTTATATCACCTTTTAAGCGGACACTTCCAGAGTGGTTGGTGGACACCAACTTCCGAATTCTGTTCACCAAAGATTCCCCCGTTAAACTTCACACCCACATTTCCCCCATCGTTGTGTGGCTTTAATTTGATTGCATCGCCTTCTGGGCGAGCTTAAAGTGAGTTTCCTTGTGGGGTGATGGTGAACGGAGAAAATGTTTTTCTAAGCTGGTTTAGCAGCAACACCGTTTTGCCGTTCTACCGTTTTTCCTCCGGAATCTATGGGGAGGACCCCATTT